TTGACTCATTCACAACAAACGTGAATTGTCTCCACTGGGAGGCTGACGCTTTCTGTTGCAAGAGGCTCGTATTGCCGATTCAAACATGATGGATGCTCAACGAAAGGCTGCCCTTTGCAACTTTCATGTCTTTTGCTCACAACCGCTCCAGAAGATCAGGGCCAGTAACGGCAACTATCGGATACCGTCCGGGGGTACTGCCAGCTGTGGCTGCAGGGAGGTTGCTCAACTCTTTGACGCAAGAGACGATGTTTCAGGTACATGGTCACTGCTGTGCAGTACTGCGCGTGTTACCGCCACGTGGCACCAGGTCTCTGCCACAGTCAAACTACTCGCCTTTAATTTCTACGCCATTGCCAACGCAGCCTCTGAGCGAACGAAATTTGAGCGCAACAATGAGTTGCTTCATCAGATATTCACAGTGGCTGCACAATATGGTGACATACCGATCGCGGTAGCAGGTGATTTCCAGATGGAGCCGGGAATGTATCCATCAGTTCAACTGGCCTTGGACCACTGGGGTTGGGCTGACCCCTTACTGCAGACAGATGAGCAAGGTATGGTTACACGGCCTGCTACGTTCTTTCAGCACAATGCATCCACTGAGGCCGATGGGCAGTCCATGGATGGCATCCTTGTGAATAGGACAGCACTGACAGCCCTTGTAGGTATTGAAGTCCTTCAACATCAAGATCGACAACATCGGCCAGTGCGGGCCACATTTATCTGGGACCGTATACACCAAACAGGCACTGTTCTTCAGCGTGTGGCCAAACTGAACCTTGATCATATCCAGAAAGCTGACCCTGAAGATCCTGGATGTCCTGTCCACATCTTGAATGAGCGGTTGTGGCAGAGTTATGATGAAGAGTTTGCAAGTGCTGCCACTGCGGATGCAAAATGGGAGGTCTACAACAACTATGCAATCCAACTGTTGCTACTCAATGGAGCACACTGGGAGAAAGGGCCACATGTCCGAGGCTGTATGCCCAAGTTTCAGTCTGTTCGGCGATGTACCCTCCAGGAAGATAGTGGCAATTGTGCCTCTCCTCACCTGTTCCTCCTCCGGGCTATTCTTCGCTCATTGAGGGAATTGGAATTTCGCTTCCATCGAGCTGAAAGTGGTGTCGGGGACTCCCGCACTTTTCGTAATACACAGCACCGGCTCCTCCGCAGGCTCAAAGTTGCTAAACTGGTTCCATACACTGTGCAGCAGGTATTTGTGCATGATCTTCCTCACCTGGTTGAGATTACACTTCATGCTATACAGCAGGAGCTTCGGAGCTTGAAATTGGCAGCCATTCAGAAATGGCGGGAATCGATGAAGGATGCCACCACATCAATGACCATTGGGAAGATTGTTTACCAGTTTCTCAAGCGCAAAGGGCGGGTGACACCGCCCAATCTGGTCGAAGACGAAGCTGGGAATATCATTTACGATCCGCAAACTGCCATGGATACCATCGCCGCCAAGTGGGACTCAGTGCTCTCAGTTAATGCTGATCACGAACATGAAATGATGGTCCTCAAACAGGTTTGGCCTTACATTCATGACAAAGGGCGAGCTATTACGCTGCCCCCCCATAGATGAGCACCAACTCTGGCAACAGGCAGCCAAAAGAAGGCCAGGATGACACGTGAAGTACAAGCACTTCCTCCCTCAGCCTTTCGACCAGTTGCTTCACTCTTCAATCTGATTGAGGCTGGTAGTATTGACTTCCCAACCATTTTGATGCAAGTGCGGATGGTTATCCACAACAAAGATGGGAGTGATGCACCGCTGTTGAAACCATTTTTTTCCCTCCAGTCGGTCTTCACACTTCTTTACACTGGACTTCGTTTCTCCCAGTTACAGCAGTGGCAACAAGATGTGATGCCGTGGCAACTTAAGGGTGGTATAAAAGGCCGACAGATGGCTGAGGTGCATATGACCATTCAGCTTGAGATTGACTCTGCACATAGCCTCCAAGGATCCTTCTTGGGCCTCAAGTTGGACAAATCTAGGTGCTTCGATCGCTTGATACCCAAGCTGTGTGCGGCCCTTATGCTGGCCCTAGGCCCACCCAGAGGCATGGTCTGTGGATTTCTTGCCCTCTACACCAGAATGACTCGATATCTTTCATTCAAACAATGGACGAGATCCCAGCCGATCTCCACTGCTAATGGTGTAGTACAAGGCTGTTCACTCAGCCTACTCTGCATCAATCTACATATGGCAGTTTGGGCCTGGCTCATCACCAACATTGATGGTGTTGATTTTCGTGCATTCATTGATGACACTTATCTTTGGACACGGCTGCCCTCCATTGACAAGCTGGTTGCTGCAGTGCGTGCCACAGAACTGTGGGATTCACTTTGTGGACAGTTTCTCAATGCAGGGAAATGCGAGATCTTCGCTACTTCCAGTACACTGCGCCAGTTGATGAGATCAGCTTTCCCACAGATGAAGGCAGTTGAAGTCGTCAACATACTTGGAGCACACATCCAAACTACGAAGAAGAACGTGGGCAGTTTTCCAGTCACCAAACTTCAGGCTGCACTACGCGACTGTGAATCGATTCGATCGTTGCCGTGTGACAGTTACAAGCGGGCCCAAATTTTAGCCACGAAAGTGCTGCCACAGGTTGCCTTTGCCCCACAGCTCAACTTCCTCCCTAAGCGGCTTCTGGCTCGGCTGCAGTGTGCTATCGCGGATGCATTATGGCAAAACAGGCCTATGTGGCGGTCAAAGCATCTTCTCCTGTGTGTGTCATCCATAAGGCGCACAAGCTGGACCCCTTTTGTTTTGCGCTGTGGCCACAATTACAGAATCGGTCCGTTTCCTGCTGAGCTCTATACGTGCAAGACGACAGTGGCAGCAGTTATATGAACAGGACCAACTCACCGCCCAAGCTTGGATGACTCAGTTTGGTCAGGCTTGCCACACCCTGGATATTGATTGGTGCAGTCCCTTTTGCTTCTCTGTCTTGGCCGCTCCTGCTGTGCATTTCCTGGATTTTTCAGCCAGGGACCTCAAGTGTATCTTGAAAAGTCTTGCGGCTAACAAGTGCTATCATGCAGCCTGTTTGATGCCACGCAAGGACATTCAGAAAGCCACCGGATTCCTTGACCTTCCCATGACCCTCTCTGCAAAGAAGAAGCTTGCTGGAATTCCAAATCCTGGGTTTTCCTTTCTTTGTCATTGGGAAAGTGCATTAACCGGTTGCACCTTGACAGCCGATCGTTTAGCTGCATCTGGCCTTGTGGAGAGCTCCGCATGTCGCTTCTGCAGTGGAGAGAAGGAGTCCCTTCAACACTTCGTGCATGGGTGTTCTGGTCTACCTCCTGATTTGCAACAACCGGGGTCGATCTTCTATTTTGGGCCCAATTTCTCTATGCTTGGAGTGGCAGAGACCCCGCTTGAGACGATTCGTGAGAAGATGAAGGTCGCTAATACCTCTGACCTCCAAGTCCAAGAATGGAGACAACCATTGGTGGGGTGCCAACATGTCTGGACAGATGGGTCGGTTCAGCTGGCGCAGTATCCCTGGCTCACCATGGCCTCCTATGCAGTTGTGGCGGAAGATGCATCCCTGATTGTCTCTGGCCGGGTTTGGCATTGGCGACTATCCAGCTATAGCGCAGAGCTATGGGCCATTCTGGCCGCATTTTCAGTAGCTGCAGCCGATTGTCGTGCATTCCGATTCCTTGACCATTGTGAAGCAGTTTGCTGAACTCCAACGGCTTGACAAGATTCAGCTGGAATGGACGCATGCTCAGTGGTGGGGGTTTCTATTAACCCTCATCCATCGCCGTAGGGTTCTTTCCGCTACACCTCTCCAACTTGTTTGGTGCCCGGCTCACCTGTTGGAACACCTCCCGATTGAACAGATCTCTGAACAACAGGCCATTGATGCCGGGTCTACGTTGAGGGACATCCGTTTGAACCGAAAGGCAGATGAGTTTGCCAAGAGACATATTCACGATGTTGCGATTAAGCTTAAAGCGGAACTGCATACCAAAGAAACCGATGTCTATGCCAGACATTTGTGGCTTGCCATGTTGAACAGAACCTGTAAGAAACCTGATGTGGCGCCAACGACCGTTCCTGCGGTTTCCACTGCGCCCCAAGAACGGCTCACTCCGCGCCAGCTATGCCCACGTTGGGCATGGGATAGTCAGCCAGATGAGTATACATGGCATGTTTGCAATGATGTGTCCACTAAGGGTCCGGAGAAACCACCCCTTTCTGGAGCCAATTTCAAAATATTTTTGCAATTCATGAACTCCCTTCGTTGGAAGCTTGGTGAGGGACTCGCTTGCTCTGTGTTTGAACTTGCGGCTGCAGCATTCTTGCATGGATGTAGGTTTGAGCTGCCCGTTGGAACAATTTGTACGCCGCAAGCATATGCCACCATCATTCGGGCGGCGATTTCGTTCTGCAAGACCAAACAAATTGTGGTGGCTCCGTTGCTTCTCGACAAGGGCAATAAATGCAACGGGAAGACGTTCCCGAAAGGTGCCTTCTTTGGTGCTGAGGTCTACCTAACCAATCAGACCTTGGAGTTTTTGTCCCGTGCCTTTGAGAGAGGGGCCAAAGCCACACCTCTTTCTTGGGCCTTGCCTGGCGACTCACTCTTGTGAGTCAGTAGAGCCATTCTGGAACCAGACCCACACCGCGGAAGCGTGTCGGTCGCCGAGACCTCTGAGACGGCTGGAGAGCAAAAAAAAGGAAGCTCCACCCCGCCCTCAGGCAGGGGGGAGCTTCCCTGAAGAAGCGTAAGCTATCCTGCGTTCATTTACTAGGAACGTGTTTAGTACCTAATTGAGTTATCAACTAGCCTATACCTCTTGAAACATAACAGCCCGGCCCCCCCCAAAAAGAACTACAATATAGAGATATATATAGTCATATATATATATATACATTAATAATCATTAATATACATGTTAATAGATTAAAGATAAACACTTGTGTTTTTCAAGTTTTTTTTCGTTGACGCCTTGCTCGACTCATCGAGGCCGAAACGAGGTCGCCATGGTCGCCGAGGCCATCCGTTTCACCTGTCCACTCGGGAAGCGCCTCCAGTTTGCGTCGTGGAAAGGGGTTGATTTTGGGGTCCGCTATGTTTTCTTATTGGAATGTTCTTGCATTCTCAATTGTGGTTGATATGATTGAAATGTGGTGATCTTCTCTGGAATTGCTATGTTTCCTGCCTCCTACGCTCTCAAGAGTGCCTGACATCTTGCTGTGCGTCGAAAAAAATCCAGACGATGGACATTTAAAAGACAGGGTTCGTTGCAATCTGCATGGAGGTCCTTCGGAGTAATACCCAACTATACAAGCAAGCGGAGATGAAGGGGGTTGTATGCGATGTTTTGTGCTTGAGTCTAGAAATGCATGTGCATTCAATAACGTTTCGACACCCCCACTTTAGCTTGGTGAGCTTCCTTAGCTTGCTCCAGCCATGTCTGAAACAGCAAAAGTTTCCTCTTCATTCCCACGCGGGTCCTCGGGTGGTGTCGCGGCCTTGGTCATGGCACCGTAGCCTAGCACTTCAAAATTCAACATGCTTTAGCACTTCGTGGGGTGCGTTGCAGCACCTAAAGCCGAGCGCATGTTTGTGCCCTCAGGAGTTGTCCCCGGGCACAAGGGTTATGGTCCATGGCATTAGAGTAGCCCGGCTGCTGTAAAACCTGTTGCCAGGTGTATCATTTACCCAAGTTACACTGAGAAAAGATGTGTTCTACTGTACAACCGCATTTTGGTCAAAGTGCTTCATGATAGAGTTGCTAAGTCGGAGAAAGACATCAATGGGAAAGAGGGCACTTGCATCGAATGGTGCCCCGAGTGGCTTGGCCGGGCTTGGTGACGAGTGGAGTGGAGTGAGAGCTTTGTGCTGCAAATTCTGCACCACGAGCGCAAGGACTGGACGTGTGCATGTGCAAATGGATGATGCTATGAAGGCTTTGAGGCCCCGGAACCTCAAGGTGATGCGAGCTCAGACCGAAGTCAATGAAATGATGGACCGGGTGCTGACTGTTTTCGAAAGTTTCTTGGCATAATTGAGAGTCCTTGGCCGATGTTCGGGCCGATGTTTGATTTGTCTTTTGAGGGATTGCATGGGATTGCCGGATTCCCAAGGTGCTGACAGACGCTCTGACAAACTTATGTTCGTCGCACTTGTGGTCTGTTTGAAGCCGGCACGCCTAAAGACTCAAGCGAGTGCCAAGGCAATGGTGATGGTGTATTGGACCTCAATGAATTCGAGAGATGTTTGGAAGGTATTGGCTTGCACCTCGACCTTGCCTACAGCTTCCTACAACAGTGCCAGTGGTTCATCGATGTTCACAGCAACTTTGACAAATGTTGACATTGACATTGTACTTACTGAGGGGGAAGGAGTATGTGACCGCTTTCCAGATGGCAATGGATAAAGATAATGACTTCGAGACTTAGCTTGCATGTGTCTTTGTTGTATGTGTATGCGAATGGGAGGAGAGTGCGACATTGCCCGCATTCCCACTACTGCCAGATTTTGCCTGCATGAGCACGCTTCGGGCGCGCGAGCGTCAAGCGTGCTCTATTTGTGTGCGGGGTTATATATTTGCGATGGTCCCGTGATTGAAGGATTGAAGGCTTGATGCCAGTTGCAGGCATTCAAGCAACTCTGGTCATGTTGCAACGGTACAAGCAGGGTTTAGACTCAGAGTCCGTATGCGTGGACATGTGCAGCTTCACCTACACACATCAGTCTCACCGGAAAATCCAACCCATCAAAGGCACCTTCTGGAAATGTGGTTCAATAGCTGCAGTAATGTTGTATTTTCAAAAGTGTGTTTGATCCTTTTGGTTGTGCGACTCCGGTCTAGCTTGGACGCCGCTACTGACAGGCATGGTGTCCGGGTTCTTTTTGCGTTTGATTAAGGAGATCGACTATACCGAGTTTACTAGCTGGGCATTAGGTGGGCTCACTTGACAACTTGTTCATGCTGCACCAGTTCCTCTCACAAAGTGTTGCCATGAACATGACTGTGTCCTGCATTGCCAAACATATTGCCTCCTGAGATTCAACAAGCAGGTACCAATGTTCCGGGCAAGCGAACTCGCCTGGACTTATATTGGCCAAAGAAGCGTGGCTTGGCATTTGCTTGACTCTTGGCCCCCCGGCTGCTTATTTAAGCATGTGCAGGGTGCAGGGTTGAACGGTTCAGGTGACGTGAAGATTGAGAAGGTTGACGATGATGACACAGTCCCAGACCATGACGAAGAACTCACTGAAGAAGATGTCATCAGGAGCGTGTTGTGTTCCAGTATCAGGTGGCCATGCGAGACACTGAAGGAATCAAAGTACAGCACGTTTCCCCGAGATAACTTCTCCGAAGCCCTTGCGGATGGGGGATGATGAGACAGGTTTTGTTTACTTGTTCAAGTGTAAGGCCCAACCTCTTGACAAGAGTGAATGAGAAAGGGGAACTCAGAGTCAATCGTGAGGATTATGAAGCGGCCGTTTCTGGACATGAAACTATGCATCATTGGCGCATTGTTTTTTTCCTCATGCATGGCCACAAGTTTGTTGATTTTTTGTAGAATGCTATAGCTGAGGTTGCCTGATGATTGGCCAACCCACGGGATCCTTGTCAGACCTTGGGTACAGCAGATGTTGATTGAAGTGTTTATATATGTTTATACAATATATGTTTCCAGAATTCAGAATTGTCGATCGATCAGCATTTGACAACCCACTGCCAGGATTGCCATCATGAACAACGCCAGAGCCCGATTTCCACATTATCCAGTAGCAGCTGGTTTGCATGAAGCAGATGGAAAAGATCTGAGGTGGGCATGTAGCCGGCCCGCAGAGCTTATGCACGAGTTACTGTGGTTTCTTTACACGACACGGCAGTCCACTTCAACTTTACGGCGCTTTCTGTATGTTCATTAAGAAGCTGAGGAAGGAATTGTAACTTGGCTGTGGTGGAAACTCGAGGCAACAAAACTGAAATCATGAGCCAAATACCTAGGTTTGGTCAATGAAGCGGAACGAATATGTTGGCGGCCGTGTTCTCGCAACTTGCATGAAGTGACAGAGCCAGATGACCAGCCAACGCTCTCCGAAGTTTGCCCTTGCGCGAACATTCAAAGCTCTTCCAAGGCGGACATCAGGGCAACCGGAGCTAAAGAGGCATTTGCTTGCGCAAGCACTTGCGTGTGCTTGGTGTTCGGATTTGGTAGAGTTTTGGCAGGTGCACCCTTGTCGGACCACTCCTCTTCGGGCTTCAGAGGACTGCACCCAAGCAAGTGGTCACGACTTCAAATCGATGCGCATGTTTTGCAGGATGCTTTTCCAGCTATCTACCGAAATATTTCCCCAGAGGCGTTGGCCTTGCCTAAATGCAAATGTTAAGCTAGTGCACCACTGTGATGAGGGAGAACTTATGGTGTACGAGCTGCGAGATGACAGCACCTTTGGAGCAATGCGCGATCGTCAAAGTCGGCATGTTTGCTCCCGAGAAACGGCGCCCTGAGACGTGAGCCCAACGTAAAGCAAAGGAAGGTTCCTGGCCTTGTACTAGGAGCAAGGACGCTACTACTAGGGGTTCCGGGCCGTACTACAAGGAACAAGAAGCTACTAGGGGCTCCTGGCCTTACTAACTACTAGGAACAAGGACGCTACTAGGGGCTCATGCGTCAGGTTTTGGAAGTTGTTCACGCCTGCATCAATATTCCGGCCAGGCAAGGTGCCTCCCATGGGTGTAATTCCTCGTGGCGCAGCTTGTTTCTGTTGTTTAGACCTTGAAGAGTGCCCTCTCGAGATCTCTCGAGTGTGAAATGTGTGTGGTCGAGCTAAGTTTGATGCTTGCATGGGCGAGCGCTGCCCAGGAAATGTTCACCGTTTACGAAGTATTGCGTGGTGCTGAGTATGGGCCACTTAGCTGCAGCCACTTCTTTCTGGCACATGAAAGGAAATCAGCCAACACTGTACACGATCTCAAACTCGCCTCGACATCCACATACACTCATTTCAGTCTAGTGTGGAACCGCCCCAGCAACACGGGCGCCTAAAGCCAGGTTCTGCTTCGGGCGCATCAAGTACAAGGGCCAAGAGAGCCCAACAACCTGGGTCGTTCTTGGGCTGCTTATCGAGCGAGGTGCGCTTTTCTTCCCTCAGCGGAACGTGTCCACACCACCTGTACCTGTCAGGTGCCCACTGGTCGATACCGGATACGGCTCGGAAGCCATCTGATTTGACATTTTCTGACGCCACTCGGAAGCTTTAGAACCCTTGGGATTTGAATCAATGTGTTTGCTTGACCAGTTTCCTCGTCAAGCTCGCAGAGCCAAGGCTGAACGAATGAACTCACTGTGGTGACAAAAGGGATTGTGTCGTCGCAAAGCGACACTTTCTCACTGCGTGTTGCCAATTGTATGCTATAGTTTCAGCACACCCTCAACCCTCTCAGTCAAAGACTCGAGCGGATGAGGGTCGTAGCTTGTTCAACACTATTGCAAAGCAGTTTCTTGAAACTTTGTTGTGCTGGCACAAGTCTTGGACACAGCTTCATAATCCTCAACCGTCAAGCGGTAGCCCCGGTAGACCGACTGATGCATTCCAAAAAACAAAGCCCCAAGTCAGCTGCAAGCTTCAGCTCAAGCAGATAGAGTCAGAGGGCTTCTGGTTCAGCATGATCCGAAGCTCACTGTTCTTTTTGGATTTACATATTCTGGGCGCCGGAGTCACTTATCAGCTGGAGATGCCTCCCTCCCACCACAGACTGCATAGTATATAAGTGTGCGAAGGAAGTGTAGGGCCAAAGCCCAGGAGCAAGTGAACCTTGAAACAAATTGTGGACATACAGAGTTTCTTCAAGAAGGTGCATGCCGGAAGTTGCTTCACCTTCTATGCCTAGGTTTCACCCGAACACTACCCACATGCGTTACCCACATACGTTCCAGGTTCTTGTTCAATCCTAAGGATTCGGTGCACAGACGTTGTGATTGCACGTTGGGGAAAAACGAATAGAAGCTTTGTAGCAAATAGACTAAACACCTTGTGTCTATGGTCATGAAAATACGTTAAAATAGTGTTTTGCTTTGCTGGTTGACTTCAACTTTGACTTTGTAAAGTATCGCCTGGAAAAAAGAAAAAAACACACACTCCTATTCCCATCATGCCCCCTCAGATCACACGCGCCAATGTCCTTCCAGCCTGTTCCGCACTTTGCAGGCAAGACAGCAATGTGCACATGTCATCACAGGAAAATAAAGTAAAAAAACCATAACGTTCTTCTAGCGATGGCCTCCAACCTAATAGCGACATGTCATCACATCATGTCATCACATGTTCCTCAAAAAGGCGCGCTACTTTGTGTAGGTGCCAAACCGCTCTCCAAGGACCGTGCATTGTGAGCTTGTTAACTGTTGTGTGGGACTCTTGCGTTTGCTGTGTCGTCCACCGGCTCACCATATCGGCCAACTCCCTTCATCCCATCTACCAACTCGCCCTGAGCTACTCATCCCTCAGCACATCTCAACGCACACCCGCTCGGCTCATCTCAACTTGCCGTTGAGATCTTCATTTGCTCAGTTCGGGTGGGTGAGTAAACGCTTCGCGACGGCAAACTTATTCCTTGGACTTTATATGCTATTCGTCTTCCAAATAAAAGTCGGTTTGCCAAAGTAATGACCCATACGGAAGCTTGTTTGATATCTAGGATGTAAATGATCCAATACGGGTTGATCCTTTCCAAAGCTTTGGAAAGATCCATGAAGAAGGCTGCAACCCTGCTTTGATTGGACTGAATGGACCTGGACACTCGTCGCGAGGCTGGCGAAAGTGAAGCATGCGCCCTCATCGAGAAGATGGGCATTGAAAAGCCTCTCCTCGACCTTCTTTATGACAGGTGCCTGCCATGCCACTCCAACTGCTCTCTGATGGGCTTGCCAAGGCAGGCCTAATAATGAGCAAAAGCACTCACTTTCCAGCTCTAGCAAGACAGGCTGGTTGACACCCCACAAGAGCACACAGAAACAGTCGAAGCATGCGCTCAGCCTCCTTGAGCTCATCACTGGCGGCACCATCGACACAGACTGACCAGAACAAGCAAATCATGAGCCCAGCCTTGAGTTGTCGACGGTCCCAAGGACATTCTGTCCACAGACCATGAGCTGGTTGGTTTTCAGTTAACTCAATTCCCAAGTGGAAGAAAGGCGAGAGAACGGCAAGGCGAAAGGTCCAAGCATTTGTAGGTTTTAACAAAAGAGTTTCTCACTTGTCTGCGGAAGATGCATTAGCCGCCTTACTGAATACCTAGCAGACACGGAACGGCGGTTTAAACAGTTACTTAAAATGCAGGTACGTTTGCACGGGTCCCAGAGGAGGTCTTCGTTGGCCACCGCTCCTCTGGGACCCCGGTGGCCCCCTGCTTCTTTGTCTTTTTCTTTTTCTTTTTTCTGCATACCCCTCCCTGCGTAGCGATGCCCTTGGGTCTAGCGGCCTCTAGTTCCTAGTAGCGAGGCCAGAAACCATTAGTAGCACCCTTTCTTCAAGTGGGAACCTGCTGCATGCATACTTACCGGGCACGAACCTTGGAAACAGGTGTTGACACACACACACATTATGCCGCAATCGGCGCTCTGCACCCCTTGCGTTAAACAATTTTGTTCTGCAGCTTTGTACACACAACGCCGATAGCGGCGTGCCGGAAGATTACTAGTCACCTAAAAAGCCCTAGAAAGACAGACAAAGAAAAACAGGAAGAGAAAACGAAGAGGGCAAGAGAGAAAGATAGGAGTAGTTACGAGGCCGACTAGTTACGAAGCCTGTTAGTTACAATGCATGCAGAAGCTAGCGAGCGGGACTTTTGTCTTATACCGCCCGGGTAGCTAGAAGTAGGACAGGAGAAATAGAAGGAAAGGCACCAACACACAAGTGTGTTGAGTGCGATTTCCTTCTATAACCCTAGATAGCGGGTGGGAAAGCAACAGAGGCCAGGGGCAGGGAGGGGAGCCCGAATTCATTGCCATCACTGACATTCAAGTAAAGCCGATTTAGGGCCGGCGCACCCTTGTCGGAAAGGCACCTGGAACCTAACGAAAGGCCTCAAGAAACGAAAAGCAACAGAAAGAGAGAAAGAACCCAAGAGCATGACAAGCGCATGCAACAGGAAAAGCTACCTAGCTGCTAGCTTGGTGACCCTGCGACATGTACCTCAAAAACCGCATGGGTGAAAAACATGGAAGTGTGGACAGTAGCGTCACTGGTCTTAAAAAGGTCATGGTTGGTAACGTGGTGCTGTACACTCTTGAAATCGAAAGCGAGCTGCGAAAATCATGAAAAACAAACGCGAAAGTGGATCCAATGAAATTCAGTGGAAATTCCGTGAAGCCCGGCGGCGTAAATTGCAGGGAGTACAAAGGTGAGACCAAATCAGTTAAGAGAATCCAAGGCATGGTGGAAACGGTGGAGTCTGTTACACGAATTCCGGAGTGAAAACGGCGCCTCCTTGCGGAGGATCACACCCAGCACCCAAGTGGGACGACTGAGCGGGTCACACTCTGACATTGGTTTTCAGTTAACTCAATTCCCAAGTGGAAGAAAGGCGAGAGAACGGCAAGGCGAAAGGTCCAAGCATTTGTAGGTTTTAACAAAAGAGTTTCTCACTTGTCTGCGCAAGATGCATTAGCCGCTTTGCTGAATACCTAGCAGACCGCCTATGCATTAGCCGCTTTACTGAATGCCTAGCGACACACGGAACGGCGGTTTAAACATGCAGGTACGCTTGCACGGGTCCCAGAGGAGGTCTTCGTTGGCCACCGCTCCTCTGGGACCCCGGTGGCCCCCTGCTTCTTTGTCTTTTTCTTTTTCTGCATACCTGTCCCTGCGTAGCGATGCCCTTGGGTCTAGCGGCCTCTAGTTCCTAGTGGCGAGGCCAGAAACCATTAGTAGCATCCTTTCTTCAAGTGGGAACCTGCTGCATGCATACTTACCGGGCACGAACCTTGGAAACAGGTGTTGGCACACACACATGCAGCAGTTTAATCATTCACTCGCACATGCGACTCACTCATACTCATTCTCATTTCCTTACTCTCCCAACTGGTGTGCTCACGCCTGCTCAGACTACGGTTGTTTGGCCAGTTCTCGTTTTGATGCAGGAAATTGAAGGCCGGCAAACTGGCATTGAACCGCACACTGCCGCAAGCCAGCGGGACTTGTTCACGTGTGTGGACAAGCAGCTAGGCCTGGCCACAATCGCGTTCTTTCGTTTGAGCAGGGTCCGTCGCACTTTCATTTTGAGCAAAGCTGGGCACGAGAGAGCCAAGCCATAGGCTATATATGATACATCTTTCTATGATTTTCTATGCAAGTACAATTGTATATTATTTTATATAGTTTTCCACGCTTGCCATGTGTGTCGGCACTACTTTCCGGCAGCAAACCAGCCACATACAGTAATCGGATCGCTGAGTGGTTCCACCTGCCACCAGCCTGTCAAACCTACACAAAGCTGCCGACGTGTGCGATTTTATTTGTGATAAACCCAGAGCATAACTCAACAAACGAACTGTTAGATTCGAGGGGCTGCTAGTCCATGTGTTTGAGCGTTGCTCCAGGCGCTATCCAGAGGAATCGAGGGAAGATCAGAAGCAGTTTGGGGCCCAGGCAAGGCATGCAAGCGAGTCTGCTTGTTGCAGCAACCACCAGGCTGAACAATTGCTATATCTATAAATATATATATATACAGTAACTCCACGGGTATGCCAGAGGAGTATCACACAGTCGCTTCTTTTAAAGATAGTGTCCTGGATGGGCTGCACTCCCCGATCACAAATTCAACTCCTGCCTCAGCCTTGGGCCTGTAATGTTTTTGACCCTGCTTTCATTTGCTTTGTGTGTGCCATCCCAGTTCTTCTCATCCTCCTCGCACCTCCCGACCCATATCATCTTACATTTTCCCCTCACTCACTTTCACTAAGACTTCACTACAACATACTATGACTATAACTATAACTATGTATAATCATCCTCGAGTAGATAGAATACGGAATTGAGCCGCCAACGTACCTTCCGTCATTTCAATTTCATATTCTAAGTACCTCGTTTTGACCCCCCCAAAAAAGTACATAGAATATCTCCGAGCGGATCAAACGAGTACTTGGAATATCGTGGAATGGTCTGTGGAAGATAGGGGGCATAGGGGAGAAGATGGGAGAAGGAAAAGGGACATAGGATGCGAGCTCGCGCGCGCGCGCGCGGGTGTTTCGATTCGAGGCACGCGGGTGTTTTGATATAACCATCCTGAAGATGCTTTTGGGACCCCGATATTCCATGTATTATTATTTTTTTTTAGTGCCGCGGGATTGAGTTGTACCAAAATTCTATGTACTTCAGGATGGTTATATATTGTACAATCGCAATGGTCGCCGGGTTGCAGAGGTATAGCTGGCTGAATTTCTGAAGGGATAATTATGTTCCTTAAGCAGTGCACTGCGACGGCTTCCCTTGCTGTGTGCCGACATTGCAAGCAGCTCAGGTTTGTCCACTACAGATTTCCTCGCCGAGCTTTCACGGTCTCAACTTCTCCAACGGCCACAGGATTGAAAAGGTCTTTTGTGGAAGATTTGCTCTTGGCGTGTGATAGGACTTCACGCGGCTGCTGGGAGTTCTTGGCAAGCGCCGGCTTTGGAAACATGCGGCTGTTGCCTTAAGTCAGGCAAGTTAGCATATGCTACTCATGGACAGCAGCATGTTTTCCCAACTGTTGCTTTGCACAACATATTATATACTTTAATTGAAACAGATGGATGCCCTTTGTGGCATGCAGATTGCCGGCCTCTTGGCGAGTTGCATTGCAACGAGCTTGCTTTTTCTTTGCGCGTGTTACTCTGAAATTAGCGGCTATTAGCGGTGTAGCTGAGCCCAATTGCTTCTGTGACAAGAGAGCCTGACCCGAGATGAGGATGTTATTGCACTGGGGGCAGCCGTGAACGCTTGTGCAGGAGCATCGTCGCAAAAAGAGACGTATCGTGTCATTTGACTCCTGCAAGTGCTGTTTTTGGCATAGTTGGTGGGCAAGACCAGAAATCATGGGAGGAGCTGGTGAATGGGCAGTAGTGTTGACTCTTCTGCAGCACTCTGGTGGGCATTGGGCCAAGCACCGTGTACAAAGGTAGGCCAGCAAATGATCGGGCAATCTGTGGGCAGCTGGCAGGTGGGGTATTTCTCCAGACCTCAGGACGTGCAAGCCTGAGCAGGGCTGCGAATGAATGTTGGACTTACTAGGGTTACTAAGTTATTGGACCTTTGTGGTCTACGAGGCTCAACTGTGCCTTGAGAAGCGTGGAAAGAGATTCATGGAGGCCTGAACTTGAATCGTGCTGGCACGCTTGAAGCACAGGTTCCGGCAGTGACTAGACCAAGCTTGGTCAATCAATCCATCGCCTCACTGAGGAACAAGCACCCTTGAACTCTTGAACCACCAAAATTGTTTAGATTGCTGAAGGGGATGTCAAACTCAGAAATTCAGAGGCCCGAGGCTGGGGGGCACTTCTGGTCACAGGAAGCTCGGAAAAGAAGCCGATGAAGAGACAGAGAGAGAGAGAGAGTACCTAGGCATTGCACGCGCGTCACGCACATGCGTGAGAAGATGTAAGAATGATTCACTACTGATTCGCAGCAGTTTGCGCTGCTTGTAGCGCTGATGTGTAAAGTGCTGATGCATAGTTCCTCGAGATATTTTGGCATTTTCAGTCACAGGGAAAAGGTAAAGCATCAAATCAGGGCTGCACTTTGCCGTGTAGTGTTCCCCTGTGCTGCCACCAATCATATGCATGGATATGCATGGGCACACCTACACGTACGGCATATTTGTATTGCACTTGTTACACAAGTTGTTCCAAGCCCTGAGCTTGCAGGTGCATATGGGTTAGCAATCTAAAGCAGCACGTGGTGCTGCTATAGCTGCTTTAGGTTGTCGTTGGATGTTTTTGACCTGCAGTTGCATCGGCGCAACCTATTGAGGCTTAGAGTGTTGCGTGCTTTTTCATGGCTGTGTGCGGTTCGTGTTCGGAATCAGCTCTTGTTGCCCTAATTCCGTGGAAAGGTGTGAAGTGCTCCGATCTTTCACGCCCTGTGCAAACTGATAATGTTTGGGTTTGGACTTTCGACAGGCGTGGGTTGCGCTTCCTGGAGTTCCAAAGGCGTTAAATCTATGCACAGAAATCACAACAATGCACTTTGAGCCAAGGCGCTGCGATCTCCAACCGGATGTGATTACGTTCCGAACTCATATAAGGATCCTTTAGGCAAGTGACTATTTCTTAACTCCACGGTTCATTTTGTGGTCCGTGACTGGTCTCAAGGTACAACCTTTTGGCCGCTGGCTGTGGCCATGGCCAATGGCGACTGGTCAGGGCGCTCAAAGCTAGACATGAAGATGAGATGCGGAGTCCAAAGCCTGTGGAATTCACCATCCAGCATCCAGGTTTGCAGATACCTTTTGGATTCGTTTCATGGATTGGTGCCAGCAGCCTAGCTTCTTTGTACATTTCTTGGGCCACCTCCTCCGAATTTTGCCACTTTCGCTAAGGCCAGACGTTCTCATGTTGGGAGCGGCCTTAGTAAACTTCGAGAAGGTTTCGACTCATAACAAATGTATGAGTAAATGTTTTCAAATGAAATTGGCAGCTTCACAGCCCTTGAACAGACCACTGTCCAACAAAAACTGTAAGGTGTCCTCACCTTGGATGTCGTCCTCAACAATACGAAATGCGGTATGATAGTCCGGGGTGTCCACACCCTTCCCAACACCTGCGTAGCCGGCCAGCTCTTCCTTTTCACAGCTGACCACAAGTCCTCATGGCTCAACGAACCACACCACGCCCACCCCTGAGATTGGGCCAGTGCCACAGGCATTGCATGGTTGAGCAACATGTGACCTGGAGATTCGACATACCCCAAACGTTCTAAATTGGTCCAACATGTTGCTGGACTGCGTACAAAGTGATGTGGCATCCAAAAACAAAGAGATCCTTTCCGATCTTTCCGACAATCATCAGACAGAGAGGAGTCTTCCCCAATGACAAATCTTTCTCCTTGCCTTCCCCATTGACTTCTATTCTCTGTTCACGATTGCTCTCCCATACAGTCAGGACGACTTGGCTTTTCCTGACTGTTCTCTCTCAGCCACTTCACACGGGTGCGGGTGTCGGCTCGATTTTTGAGCATCTCTTGCTCGTCATTCAACTTGTACGTGCCTAGCTTTACTATTTCTCTGAGCACTGTGTTGTCCATAATCTTCGTGAGTGAGTCCGCAAGCTGAGCCCCAGACGGGACCCATCTCAAAAGCACTCCGGTTCCTTGATGCTCCTTGATCAGTTTTGCTTGCAGCAATGTCCTGAATTCTGAACATGAGGGTGCTGCTGTTTTGCTGATCAAGTCAAACAAAGATTTGCAGTCGGTGGCTACTACGGCTTTTTCTGTTGGGATCTGTTCCAACATCTTGTGTGTTTTACACAGTGTTGCACTTGGACTTTCAAGGGTGTCGTCTTTTAAGGCCGAAAAAGCAGGAGGGAGTTTGCTTAGCGTTTATTCTCCAAGCTTCCACTCACATCTATGATCCATCATCCAAGCCCAGAATAGGCGTACCCATGCGAGAGTGTCTACGGATCCGGCCAATGACATTGCTTCGGCAGACAGTGTGCTTACCGCTACCTCACAGAACAAGAACGTCAGTCACTCAGAGCAGTCATCGGAAGTCTTCTGTACGCAGCGGTAAATACTCGACCGGATTTGTGCAGTAGACTAGGAAAATTACAATCTCGAATCAACAATGGAACTGTTTTTGAACTACTGCGAACTGTTTTGCCTCATGCAGAGTCCTATTGGCATCTAGTAGATCAAAAACAGTTCCATTGTTGATTCGAGATTGTAAATTTCCTAGTCTACTGCACAAATCCGGTCGAGTATTTACCGCTGCGTACAGAAGACTTCCGATGACTGCTCTGAGTGACTGACGTTCTTGTTCTGTGATAGGTTCTGTCAATTGTTTCTTTCGTTCATGAGACAATCTTATTGGTTCAATTTCTTTTACATATTGACTCTGGTCTACATGGATTTCTCCAGCTTCTGTCTGGAAAATGTGTAGGCCTGTGAAGACGAAGTCTCTGGCTTTTTGGCTGCCGAAGGGAAATTTCTTGGAAAGTTCTCGCAGCTTCTCCATCAGGTGACTGTCTACATGCACTCCAATCATGCCATGATTTTGACCGTTTTGGCCTGGAAGCATGAAAACACAGGGTTCCATTTGGGGATTGCACAAATTTTAGTTCTAGCAGTGCCCTTCTCAATTCTTGAAACCATAAAAACGGAGCATCTGCCCTTCCATGTGCTCCCTTGAGGAGTTGAAGAATTTCAGTCTTTTGCATTTGGAGTCTTTCTTGGAATTCTGGCACCGGTTCGAGTCCTAGGACTCGGTCTTTGCTTGCAGTTCCCCGCAAAAATGCCGTTTTAATATCAAACGAAGCAATCTCCCACTTCATGTTGGCAGCATACTGGAGTATGAGCGATCGGCCTGACTTCGTGAGTGTCGGCGAATCCCGCTGCACATTGTGTAATTCTGGGTCCTCGTAGCCTAAGACTACTAGGCGTGCCTTGGGAACGCGTTGAGAGTTTCCCTGCGCTGATGAATTTGAGAGGTGACTATTTGTGGCTCCGTCCTTCCAGGTCAAAATCCAGCGGCTCCTGAGGATACACTCCGGAGGGATTCGGTTCCGTGCTATTTTGGACACCGTGGCGGTGTCTAGCCAGCTTGAGATTTCCTTCTGCTTGGCGGCCTCGAATTTGAGCCTGTATTCTCGAGACTTCACATTCGGACTTCTACTTTCTGTTTCTTCGCATTGGTTTCCAAATAGGCTATTGCTTCTTGGGGTTCTGCTGCATTCGACAAATGGTTGATCTCCGAATACCCCAATGGAAATTCTAATTGCCAACATTGGTCTTCCTGCATATGAAATACGTTTGCAAAGAGTTCATCTTCTTCTTCTGTTTCTGGTACCGGGATGTTTTCAGGTAAAACATTTTGATCTGTGCTTCCCGGCATAGAGGCCTGACTGGGAGTCAGAGACGGTGCTGCTGGTTCAGTATCAGGTTGGTCTATTGAATCTACTTCTCCTTCTTCGGGTGGATTTAGTGAATTTTGATGGGTACTTCCTTCCGGAATGACTTCTGGAGAGTGTCCTATTCCAAGGTCTTGAAAATTCCTAGGAATGTTTTCGGGATCTAGCATTATGATCAAAAAAACCTAGATAAGACAGTGTCCTCTTGAGCTCGCCAAAAGCTCGCCCCAAAGCTCGTTTTCAAGCTCGTCTATTTTGGAAAAGTTCAACGAACAGTTCGCAAGTCCAAGCCAAAGTCCAACCAAAAGTTTAAAGTCCAAACCAAAGTCCAACCAAAAGACTTTTTTTGACTTCGGATAGTTTTTTATTTTTTTTGTAAACGAGCTTCGGTTTATTGTCTTATCTAGGGTTTTTTGATCATAAATCTAGCATCGCTCTTGGTTCTTTTCCCATTTGGTCTTTGTATTGGACTTCTTCTACTGCTGTCACGGGTCGTACTTGTTCTGGTGCAGCTCTGAAGAGTTTGTTCCCCAAACTGGCCCAAATCACATGTCTTCCTTCTTGGATGATTATTCGAAAGGGTCCCAGCCAGCGTCCATCTTTCCGCCAAATCATGACCCATTCTCCTGGGTAGTAATGGCTTCGGCAAGGTCGGCTTCTCTGGACAATGGCTCTCCGCAAGGCTTGGCTGTTATCGACTATGCTAAATGCTTTTCTGGCTCGTTCTCTCAGTGCGAGTTCCTTCTAAAAGCGGATGCCTTCTGCTGTTCCCTCGAGGGCTAGCAAATGAGATGTCACTTCATTGTCACTTGTTTTTGACCCAGGATACTTACAAAGCTTTCCAAACACCAATACCTCCGGAGGAAACCCTCTGTGTCTACTCCATTGGTTCTTCGTTTGGGTTGCAATGGGCAATGCTTGCTCCAGTTGTGAGTAGTCCTCTATCGTTTCTTCATGGCCCATTGTCTTCTCATGTCTTGAAGGATTCCTCCATGTCTTTCGGCGCGAGAGTTTTGCCAGTGGGCTTCTGGTGCTATCATCCTAAGTCGAATATTGTGCCGTTGCAGAAAGTCAGACATTTCTGTGGCTGAGAACTCCCTGCAGCATCCAGGCACAAGGTTCCTGGTGCACCTGCCCATGCAATCCATCCAACAGTGATGGCCTTGATTACACTCTCTGTTGTTCTTTGTGGTGAACATATTGCAGTTTGGTATGTTGCGCTGTGATCTACGAAGTGGTAAATGTTGAACTGTTTTCCATGCTTGTTTGTCCATGTGATGCCGTCCATGGAAATCATGTCCCCAAAGTCTCTTTCTTCGTGGATGGCCGATGGACGAGGAATTGTTGGGCTCTTGCACTCCTGACATGATGAGCATCGAAGATCGGCAATTGCTTGCACTAGCTGTGGCTCTTTTCCGAGCTGCTTGCAAAACGTTTGAAGTTTCAATGTTCCTGGATGTCCTAGGTTCTTATGTAACATCGTTTTATCACCCACATCTGTTCTTCTGGTCTTAGGGCTAGGAATAGTGGTCCATGTTTTTGGCCTGCAAGATCTATGGCCTCTCTGTCTTCTATTGGTTTGGACAATTCCTCATGTGGATTGTCTGTTGGCAGGCTCGAATTTCTGGCACGCTTTGCAACAGGCAACTCTTCGAATTGGAAGTCTCTCGTATGGGCTTCCTCGGCATTTGGATCTTTTGGTGATCCCGGTTCAGTTGGCGCATAGCTCATTTCGGCAGCATTCGGAGGAACATGTTGACGTCGTGCAACAATGGTCAAATTGCAACGAGCTGGTGTTCCTGTTCTTCGAAGTTTCCGACATGACATGTTTTCCCATCGTTCCCATTCTGGTTCTGTGAATATGTCTTCGAATCTTCTTCTTATGCATATCATTCTTCGAAGTGGGGCTTCTCCGGGGTGCATGGTCTTTGAAGGGCCCATCATGCGGTCGGTTCCTCGACATAGGACTAGATGATTGACGTCTTTGTCTGGACACAGTGTTTGGACTGCTTGCATCAAATCACCATGCTGCACGATGAGAGGTCCAACTCTTTTGGCAATACGATCCACTTCGGCCATTTGAGGCCTTACTGTCAATGCGTCACCTCTTTGTGGGATGGTCTTCCTTGGCCCCTCCTGCAAGAATTAGGACTTGTCGACCTTTGAGGCTTTTTAGAACTTGAATGATTTGTCGGGCGAACTTTCTAGGGTATCTTTCGGAAAACTTGGATCTTTGGATGAACTTGTTTTCTTGGGAGTCCCATGTTGAACCGGCTATCTGTTGATGTTCATGCTCCCCTGCACATGTTCTATCATTTAAGCTTTCGTACAACCCATTTGAGGTAGTCATCACATTGAGGCGCTTTCTTATCAACAGTTGAGACTGCGGATCACGGAGATCTCCCACCTTGCATAAATCGAAGCGGCATTTTTTGGCAAAATTGCTCATTTGGACGACTGCCGGATGCTGCAACATGATTGAACCTTCTGGTTGTTCTAGGTGGAAGTGTCGGTGTTCCATTACCTCGGCCTCAAACAAAACATGACACAATGCGATTTGCCACATGTTTTCTTCACGGTCTTTCAGCACGGCTTGCATGGCGTCCAACGAGCGACTCATGTTCAACGACGTCCACTTGCACCAAGGTCGGCATTTGGGACTGCACCACACATTTTCGGGCTTGTTCACACACAGTTGGAAAAAGAGACGTTTTCGATTTTGAGCTTTCTTGAGGTCTCCTTGTTCTAGTCCATAGCGAAGTGCTTTGAGTCCCAATTGCTCACTCTGGCGGGTCAACTCGCTGTTGGAAGAGCAAAAGACCTCGAACAGGAAACATTTTCCCCCTTGTGCTTTAGCTATTGCTTTAGCTTGTCGATACTCAATTCTAAACTGGCTTACCAGTTTCTGGTATTGTGATTTTGTTTTGGGCTCATAGGATTCCCACTTGCCTTCTGAGAGATGTTTTGCTGCGAAACACTCCGCTCAGATCTTCTGCCACTCTTGATCACTCATTGCTCTTCTTCGACCATCGTCCACGGAGAGGACGCTGCCATCTGTCGGAGATGAGTGACCACTTCGCTCATCACTGATTCCAGACCGGCCATGCGCTGCTGGAGTTCTGAGATTTCCTCCGTATGGGTCGTGTGGTTGATCTCCAAGTCGGAAGGAGCATAATTCACCTGGCTCGCATACCCCGGAGCCGGCTTGGCTTTGGATTTGATGGCTGTCATGGGGTTCTTCTTGGGTGTCTCGGAAGTCTGGAATTCCAGCCTCTCTATCGGATCCAGTTGAGACAGGTCCTCCTTGGTGATCATCTGTTCGCTCTCTGTTCGGAGGCGAACATACTGCACGAACAGTTGGTGTTCCTTCTTCTGGGAATGAAGCGGACCCATGATAGGTCCTCGTAGGCCTTCTTGAACGGGACACCATATTTCGCCTTTCCAGCTGCTCGAGTGTCATCTTGCTGATCTCGACGAGATGTTCCTGAGAGCTCTCTTCCTCCTTATTGGTCTTTTGAAATTGCACAAGTTTTGCGCTCAGGCTTGACATCGACGACATGGCTGACGGAGTCGTTCGGCGGATCGCGGGAGTTCCCAAATGAACTTGAACCTTTGATCTCGACGGGTTGGTTCTTGGGTATATGACTCGACTTGCATGCTTTCCGACTTTCGAACGGCAGACTCGACCGAGGTGTGCAAACTTTGGATTTCTTTCAATGAGGAATTCGATGCGCAATGCGAATCTTGAACAACGATCGAATGACCTGAGTCAGCTTTGCCTTCTTGCTCTGCAAATGTGTTTTCTCTTTCGCTCAGCTCGGAAGTTCGGAGTTTGACTTCGGTCTCACACACTCCGGCCTGGTGAACTTCCGGACATGACTCATTGCTCTCTTGGGTGGTCCACAAGTTATTGATGTCTAACAAAAACAGATTCTTGTTGGACTGTTCGATTGGGAGATTGCAATTCAACAGTTTGCTCCACAAAGTACCCTGTTCGGTATCTATCACTGCTTTGATATGTTTCAAAAACGAGCTTGAGAGCAAAAATGATGTATTACCTTGCACAATAGCTATCCGGATCCAGGTCTTACGAAGTGGCAAAAGCAATGCTGTTCTGCTTGGAAGCGTCTGGTGATTTCCAAATCGAAAAATTAGGTTGCAGCTGGTCTTCCGAACTTGCTCGCAGATCTTGACTGGCAAATTGCTTAGCAATTCAGGCACCTGTTTGTGTCCTATCACAGTCTGAGAGGCACCGAGGTCTACAACTCCTATTGTCCCTGAAGATGTGAACAAGCTCGTTTCGACCCTACCTTCGGCAAAAGCTGCGGTGTTCGGTGCTTTCGATGATGCGACTCTCACTTCGGAATGCTTGTTTTCAGTCCTCAGGGTGTTCGTGTTGAGACGGTTCTTGAGCAACTTCAATTCTTTTAGCAACTATCCCAAAACACATGGCATGCATGGAGTTCTCCTGAGGCACTTCGTTCGGCTCTAAGTCGGGGATGGCGTCAAGGTCGAATGCGATCGCTGAGGCAGTGTCTGCAATACGTCTCAGCGATCCGTTGTTGCAAACTCTTAAGCCCTTTTCCTTTACCCATGTTTCTCTTCACTCCAAAACGTTTTCCACCACCTTTTGATGATGCACTTCCTTTGGAGGAGTTCCAAAACCCTCGAGATCGCACCTTTTCTTGGAGGCGCTTGCAAGCCTCCTGGTGGTTTGAGAAAAATGCAGCTAGATCTGGGTCGTCCTGCATGGTATCACTCACACTCTGTTCAAACTGCATGACTAACGCTGCATCCGGGTCTTCGGTGGCCATCTGCTCAATCAGCTCTTCACCATATTGTTCTTCGAAAAACGACCAGCTTGTACCATCATCTTCGTCCTCTGGCACTTCTTCAGCTACATTGAAAGCCGACTGGTCATATGTCTTCAAACCACGGTCCTTGCGGCCCGAAACATATTCCTGAGAACGAAGAGCCTAGTAGGCGAATTGCGGATGTCACCTTTTGCATTGTCAGTGTACCAGGTACCACCGGCTTCAGCGCCCGATTCAACCAGAACTCTCTTCTTGTCCTCAGCCGACAACCCGGACAATGTAGGCTTGGATCTCATGGAGCTTCACCTTCTTTACATCAATTTCCGCCCATGCCACATCAGCTCTGGCCAAATAGCTGTCGGATGTCTCGTCAGCCTTTTGTGAACACTTGTACAATGCACGTTCGACCACGTCGTACTTTTTCTCTAGATCCACCTGAGCTGGCCGAATTGACCCGTCACGATCTCGATGATTTTCTGAATCCCTTCTCAGAACCTCTGCTTGACGAAGTTCCAATGTCTGAAACGCCGATCCTTTCGTATTCAGCCATTTGCGTGTCGCCAACTCAACTAGCTTTCCCTCCGGCCAGGCCTTGACCAAAAGAAGCACCTTTTGTCGCCAAACCTCCACGTTGTCCGTCCCAGGATCAAACGTGGGTACCAGCTGAGCCAACTGCGTAGCAACTGAACCTTCTGTCGACATAGGTCCCAAAGATGGTAGGCTCCGCTACCAATTTCAAATGAAATTGGCAGCTTCACAGCCCTTGAACAGACCACTGTCCACACAAAAACTGTAAGGTGTCCTCACCTTGGATGTTGTCCTCAACAATACGAAATCCGGTATGATAGTCCGGGGTGTCCACACCCTTCCCAACACCTGCGTAGCCGGCCAGCTCTTCCTTTTCACAGCTGACCACAAGTCTTCATGGCTCAACGAACAACACCACGCCCACCCCTGGAGATTGAGCAACATGTGACCTGGAGATTCGACAAAATGTATGTATATACATGTATATACAACTATATATATATATATATTTATATTTAAAGGCTTACGCCTGACAGCCGGGCGCCGGCCGGGGCAGAGACGAGAGCGGATGTAAGGCCTAGCGTGCGTGCAGGGTTGAGAATCTAGGAGACCGCCGTGGTTTGTGTGTTGGGGGACTAGTTTTCAGTGGGACGGCGAGTACGATGTTTTTTCCTGTGGTTGGGGGAGGGTTGGCGAGCGGGGGCCGGGACTGCGGGCATCCCGGCAGCATCCTCCATGTCTGGAGCAGTCGACGGCGCTAAAAATCATCTTCTACAGGCCTCCATCTGGAGATCCGGTCTCCTTTTCTGGACGCCGCCCGGTACCCGTCCTAAAAGCACGGGCTTCGCCACAGCTTTCCCCCATCTAG